TACTAGAAGATTACTTATTTAAATACTCTAATCTTTTATACTTACACTAGTCGAATAGCTCTAAGGCTCCTATACATCTAAGTGCTGTCTAATCTAATATGTGATCTTCCTTGTTATATGTCTGTTAGGCCATTACATATTTCAGAGTATGTCACCTAACTGTAAGGCCTAGGGTGCCTTTCTGTTAACTAATATACCTACTTTTTAATTATAGAACATTAATAGGACATGCTTTTGCAAAGTTCACCCAAATTTCAGTATTGACTTCACAGCATATCCCTAGTACTTATAGTATATCTCTGCTTTGAGCATCAAACTTCCAATCCAGATAGCCTAGTAGAACTATGACCTATCTTAATATATTAAGTCTGGCCTGATATCCTTTTTCTTCAGTTCGAATTCTGATGGCCTAGTTGGTGGTACTCTTCACCTAGAGGTTTTTGTCTGCCTGATTCCTCCACATTGGTATCCATTTTCTAGATCTAGCTTTTACAGTAGTACTGTTGAAGATTTGTATTACCTCTTTACTTGGGCTTCCCAAGTGGGTTCTGGTTTCTCCAGTTCTATAAATTTACATAGCCAAAGAACTTATATTGAATTTGCACCATCTGGTACCAGTTTGCATCCTTTTGTATAACCAAGGTTACACAAATACCCTTGACCTGCCAATTATGTTGATGTGACCATAGTTACAAGTATTCTATCCCAACTAATCAACAGAATGCTATTGCTATTATATGAATATTACATAGGTAATTATTCAAATTTCATCATTCATAGGTTTTGAACTTATAACCTACCACCTGGAGGGTTGATAACTGACTACTTTACTAGGTCACTATACTCTTTTTTCTTTTTTTTAATTTCTTATTATTTTATATTAGAAACCTCAACTAACTAGTATGCTGCATTCAATGTATTAACTTTAGTATAAAGATGTGCAAGTGAACATTCATATTTTTTCCTAATTGGTTTTGCTAGAACTGAAAAATTATACTTGATAACTTTAATTATAAACTATCTTTAATCACATTATAAAAAGTACCTATTAATAACTTTGACTGGTGTAGCTACCCAAAATATCAATGATAAAATGATTTATTCTTAACTAAAAATAAGGCTATCTTTTAGTAATTATATAAGTTTAGCTCTTAATAATTAAAAAAATCCACTGTTTTTTTGAGAAATTGAGATTATTGTAATTGATAAGATCTCTATAGTATTTGCTAGTCTATTAACATTTATTAGTAATCTCTTTGTCCATCTTTACAATAATGCTTTACTGTTCAGTAGTATTAAAATTCTACTGATCAGTAACCTTGCACAACTGCCATCTGTAACTGGTTTTTAAGTATTTCAATCCTATGTTTGGTTTGAGTTTTTCTCTATATTTCTAACAACACCCTATAGACAAAATAAGAATATAATGTTTTATAATATATTAAATGAAATTTGAAACAGATTCATATTGACCAATACTTTACAAACAATTAATAATAAAATAAAAACATCTTCTTTATGTTCTCCTATTAATATTACACACTTGGGTGGTTTCCATGCTATGGCTAATGATATGAATAAATTAGCATGTTTAACTTTAGCTTGAGAATCAGATGATCATAAATCTGTTGTCTTGACTGCAGTTGACCATATTGATAATCAAAAATAGAATGCCATAGACAATAATTGTAATTTTTACCAATATACAAATCTATCTGTAACCTTAATTTTACAAAAAGATGCTCAAGTCATATATCTTGATAATGTTTTATTTGAACATAGTTTTTATAATAGTTCTATAGAAGTCATCATCAAATTAATCAATAAAGATACTATTAATATTCTATTTTTAACTTCACTAAGGATGATTACTGCAACTGTAAAAAAACTAACAAAATATTTTCTTTTAAATAGCATGCTATTAAGTTAACATCAATTTCTCTTTCAGAATGTTTTTGTATTCACTGTATATAAAATGCAAAAATTAACTATGTTGAATATTTCTGTTACTATTGATGAACAGATGTTTGCAAATAGTCAAGCATATGTTGTTCTTAGTCATTCCCCATTGTGGAATTTGCTAAATATTATTTAGTTTGATCTAACTTTTGTAAAAACTGATTCTGCAGTTATTATAAATATAAACAATTAACTTCTTTATATAATAATGGTTTGCACAATTTCTTATATTGATATTCTTAATTATGTATATTTTCTTATTGATGTAATGTTTTATTAATATTTAAATTAACCTTATTCCATGTCTATATCCTTAATTGAATTAGATCAAATACTATGTTTAAATAACTTAACAAAATGAAAAACAACTGTCAATTTGATATTATCATTATAAAAACTATAATTTTCCTTTCCTGCTACTAATAACTTCTGTTGCTTTCATGAATTTTATTACTTTTTCAGTTTTGTAATATTACTTAGCTCTAGAATTGAATTTGTATTATACTTTTAATATTACTTATATGTATAAATACTGCCTTTTATTTTGAATAAGGCATGCAACTCATAAATCAACATTATAGTAGTTTAACTCTACCAGTTCCTGTTCTCAATTAAGTAAAAAATCTATACAAAGAATTAAATTAATAATCAAATCTCATGACTCAATACTGTATTATGACATCTGTAACGTAATCTAAAGCTTTATTTGTCCTTAGTAACTTGAACTCTACTTTTTTATACTTCAATTGTATGCTTGCTTACCACTATTATATCTCAATTGATATATTCTTAATATCATATCAAAATATTTTTGTTATTCTATTCCTTTCTTTTTTCAATTCCTTTATTATATTTTTCAAATCCTGCTTATTAGTATAAATCCAATAAAAACCAATCTTATTATAAGAAATCTGAACTAATTTTAATCTTTAAATTTAAACTTCTCCTTAATCTAATATATTCTATTGCTTAAATTAACTTGAATAATGAGAACTAAACCAGATTAAGTAAAAATAAATAACAAAACTAATATACTGCTTTAAATAAAAACTTTGTGATGTCAAGCATTTATAAAACAACTAAAACCAGAATATTTTCATTTAATCATATAACTTTGAACTTCTTATTACATTTTAAATCTAATAAACAAAAACAAGAATCATCTCATTTAAGCACATTTAATTTTAACTATAATAGATGCTGAAATATTTATCCAAATTATGAATCTATCCTACAAAATATATATGCTAATACTATACATCACATTTCACTCTGATCTGACTTTCTTTGAACAACTCAAGTTCCTAGTTGACAAACAAAATATTTAGATTAGTTAAAATTAATGTCCATTTGAGTATTTACTTGTAAGTAATATGCTGTAAAAAAAAAAAAAAAAAAAAAAAAAAAAAATTATATAGAGAATATATGCAAGCATGTGATGGTTTTATTTTTATATAAAATCTAACTAAGCTGCATTTGTATTACTTATATATAAAAAGGTTCTTATTTTAATAAAAAGAAACTGTTAGATTATTTTTTAAGTAATTATTTATAATACAATAATTTGTTATAAAATTGGTAGTTACTTTTAATTCAATTTTATTGATCATGAATATTTGTTATGTTTGTGCATGATTTTTGCAATAAAATAATCATTCTACTTACTCCAACATGATGACACCTTATACAGATAGGGTTGTTAATAAAGTAGCTTGCACCAAAGCACTCTGGAGTAGAACCCAACCCAAGTTGAGGTGGGTTTAAACTTTTATCTTTAAATTTGAAGCAACCTGAAGCAACCCGGAGTGAAATGCTGGAGTAAATCTAATTTACTAGAGTAAGTTAAGAATTGGATTAACGCAACCCAACCCAACCCATTAACAACCCTACATACGGGTTGATCTCTTGTTACTTTTGTTATTAAACAGCAATAATTGAGAGCTATATTAAGATTTCATTCAAAATGATGTTCGAGCTAACATTACTTTTTTCATGCGGTTGGTTACTATTTATATTAGCAATACAGTTTTAATCTGTGACATAATGCTTACTCGCTACAATAATAATTCATCAGCAAGCGAAAAATCTGTGCCAGGTTTTGTCAATCATGATCGATAAAATTAACTCTCTATCTTAAAATGTCTCTATCAAATTACTTTTCGTGCTCTATCAAGAAAATTTTTCTCATAATTTTGACACATACTTTTAATTCTAAATTCTTTTTTAGCCTGTTCTAACCATAATTTAATATTAACTAAAATTAGCTTAATACAAACCGATGTGCCCACAATCCAACCCGAAATAGTGAATATACTCTTAGTAAAATTTTCAAGCCAACCCGAAATCCGATTGACATAACCTTGATCTTTTAAATTAAATCTTATAAATACAATTAAATATTAGTTAAGAATTTTCGGACTAACCCGAAACCTGACTGGACAACCTGATAAGATCACGAGCAAAAGCCAAAATTGTTAAGGAAGTTGACACCTGCCCAAACATATTATAAAAGGAAAGTAATCGAGGGGTTTTTTTATTGATTTATTACTTTTACAATATTATATTAGTAAAGAATTTTCGGACCACTCCGAAACCACCTGATAAGATCATGAGCAAGAGTCGAAATCGATAATTAAATCTTGTCGTCCAAAAAAGTAAAGACCAAAACTTGGAAAACATTATAAATACAACCTGAATTCGACAAAAATTTTTGGGGGCGCATGCTCAGATCGATCTGATCATTCTACTCGGATCGATTTTTTAGTTATGAAAAATCTTTTCCGTTTTAGCTTAAAAGGAAATGTGGCGGATCACGAGTAAATATGCGACCAATAATAAAAGAGCAATTTGTTTATCCCATACTTTTAAAGAAACGATCTTCACCATGCCGATGAAAAAAAGGTTAATAAGCACTCCGGTAATGTTAATGCGTAGGCAAGATTAATGACTTTGGTTTCGTATAATTTTTTATTGGTTATTATGCATGATGTAATCAAATTTTAATAGCGATTACGTAACTGATCTTGGAGGGTTTTACACCACTATTTTCCTTTACCATCAGTCCTATCACTGCCTTTATTATCATCGCAGCTGTTTACTTTATCATCATCTCCGTCATTGTTTTCACGAATTTCATCTTTTTCTGATTCTGAAAGAAGTAAATTGATTAGCCTATTGCTTTTAAATTCATTAGTAATATTACAGTATTACGTACCATGTTGAGCATTCAAGTCTGTTTCTACTGGACCCACAACCTTGTCCATGATTTTGTACTCATTATTGAATAAAGCTGAAATCTGTTCTATTACGGACTTATCGAGATATTCATCAACCCAACAAGTGATGCACGGCATGAGATAATCTTGCTGTAAACCAAGTTCTACTGCGTACACGTATACTTTTTGGGTGTCCAATATATGATAAATTGCATCTTTCTGTTTTTCAAGCAATAAAAATAGTCGTTCGATTTTATTGTGTGCGGTAGTAGGTGTTCCGGAAGGAATATTTTGATAAACTGAACCAAATTTTGAAATTTCTACAAAATTAGAATCCCTCCAAGAATTTGACTTATTACTACCTCTAATGACAGGTGTGAGCACAGAAAACTGAATATCATCACTGTCAGTAGTACGATGTATTTTTTTTAAAGTTGTGCTGTTTTCAGCTATGTCAGTTTCTTTTCTCAAAATCTCATATTTACGTAATGCGAATACATTTTTAGGATCTGTTGCCAAAACATTTTCCAAATCAACCAATGCACTTTCTTTTTTTCCCATAGCATCATAAGCAGCAATTAGTTCACTTATCGCGACTACATTTTTCGGATCTCTAATTAAAACCCTATTCAAATCGGCAAATGCTTCATTATACTTTCCTAATGCATTATAGACAGCGCCTCGATTGCATAATGCTTTAGTTTCATGTTCGATATTATAAGCTTTATCTTTCACGTTTTCTAACGCACGATTTAAATCTAATAACGCCTTTGTATTTAACTTCAAGGCTCGATAAACGGCACCTCTTAACGATAATGGATAATCCCAATCAGGTAGACTATCCAACACCTTGTTTAAATCCTCCAATGCTTCATCATACCTCCCTAATGATAATAAAGCATCTCCTCGATAAGCCAATGCCCAATTATTAGAAGATTTCATTTCTAATACATTATTCAAATCTGTAAGTGCAACTTTATATTTACCCAAACTATTATATAAAGCACCACGAGTTTCCAATGCGAAAACGTGTTTTGGATTAAGTTTTAAAGCTTTATCCAAGTCCGATAAAGCTTCATGATACCTTTTCAATTTATGAAAAACAGCACCACGATTTGTAAGAGCAAACACATTTTTTGGATTTAAACTTATTGCTTCATTGAGATCTTCTAAAGATTCTTCATATCTTTTTAGCATTCTATTAGTAGCACCACGGCTTTCACGAGCCATTAAATTATTAGGATCAAGATTAATTGCTTCATCTAAATCGATTATTGCTTGATTGTCTTTTCTTATCATTCGGTAGATTTCACCACGTCGAGCCAGTGCGTACACACACTTAGGATCAATTTTTATAACTTTTGAAAAATCATTTAACGCTTTTTCAAAATCTTGAAGCAAACGATAAATTTCACCCCTTTTTTGAAGTATTTCCCCATCATTAGGAACAATCTCCAATGCAGAAGTATAATCTTTTATAGCATTGTCATAAAAACCAAGAGAATGATAAGCCTCTCCTCGAATTTTTAATAATTGAAAGTCAGAAGGTTTAATATGTAAAATGATATTTGCATGTATAAGAACTTTTTTGTATTCTTTTAAATTGGTAAGAATTTCCGCTATATTCTTATGAGCGTTGAAATATAAAGGATTTTTTCGTAAAATTCTTTCAAAATCTGATAAAGCATCATCATTATTGCCCATAGCTCTATAAACCAAACCTCTTTGTTCTAACGCAAAAATATTTTCTTCATAACGTAACGCAGCTTCTAAATCAGCGAGCGCTAAATCGTAATGTCCTATAATTCGATAAATTTCACCACGATTTGCTAATATTGAAACATTAACTATCTTATCTGATTCAAGTGTATAATTTAAATCTTTCAAAGCTTCATCATATAGTCCAAGTAAACAACGTACCTTTGCTCTTTGAATCAAAATGAAAATGTTTTTTGGATCAATATTTAAAGCCAAATTTAAATCTAGGATAGCTTTCTCGTATTGTTGAGTGGAACTATAAACTTCAGCACGTGATCTTAATGCAAAACTATTCTTTTGTATTTTCACGGATTTATTAAGGTCAGCCAAAGCTTTATCATACATAGATCTTGAACGATACACTTCACCACGAAAGGCATAAGCACGAGCCTTTCTTGGATTTTTAGAAATGGCATGATTTAAATCTTCGATAGCTCTATCCCAATCTTCAATTTGATACGCAGCATAAGCAAGATTACATCTGACTATGTAACTATTAGGATGCTCTTTTAAGATTTGAGTAAATAAATTGATAGCTTCGTTATAGTTTAAATCCTTTAATGCTTGAATAGATTTTCGATAATCAGGATGTTTCTTTGACGATTTTTTAAACACTTTAAATAGCAAATCAATAGATTTTCGTAATTTATTTCCTGAATTATTATCAGTACTTTTACTACTATTACTACTATTATTATTATCATTATCATTATCATTATCATTAGGAAGAAATTCTAGTTTCGTTAAAGGAGTAAAACGTCTATAGTTATGTGTGAGTTTGGTTGAATTTGATAAAGAAGGCCCATTATTAGACCGATTGTCATTTAAAACTTCATCCGAAGTTGTTTCAGAGAATAAGTGTGAAACCGCTGGATTTTTTGTTTTACGGTTTTGAGGATTAGTTTTTAATGATTGATTTATTTGTTCTTCTGGACTAAACGTAACATGCTTCATATCTCCTATAGAATGAAAAAGGTTGGCAGATGTTTGTTGAATGTTAATATTATCAGAGTATATTGTTTGAATATTTGGAAAAAGAAGTGGATTGTCGGAAGTTGAAAATCGTTGAAAATACATGAAATCTTTCGATTTCTATTTGTTTTTGTTTGGTTGGTTAACACTGTTATATTATTCTGTCGATATCTAACAAATTGATAAATGATTGATTTGTTTTCTTCCTATTATAAAAAGATGATAATTCATACAAATACACCCTTTATATGATTAATAGCGTGAGTGAAATTTATGATTTATTAACACATTAGGAGGTTTCGGAAATGATTAAGGGATTTCGGAAATGATTTCGTATTTAATTTTTGGATAAAATGAGTGACGTGTGTATTTCGAAGTAAGCGATATGCAACTTCTATTTTATGATTTTCAACAATAAAAAAAAGTTTAAAGATTTTATGTAATATAAACTTTTAATTCGTTTTCTGACTTTGAAATTTAGAAAACAAGATTTTTTGAACTATCACTTAATTCGGAAATATGTAATTCTGTAGCCCCCGATTATTGTTGAAATTTATTTAGGGTTGGGTTAGAGTTCATAATAAAAAAGAGTGTATGTTGGGCTTACATTTCAAATAAAGATTCACATAGCGGCAATTTATAGCTGTTTTCAAATAGGTTTGAATTTTCAAGGCCAGCTCTAATTGGATCTTCAATTTTTACTAACCAGAATTTGCTGATTCTTCGATTTCCCAAATATTGAATATACTGTATTGAAATCGTTGTTTATGCTGGTTATGGTTAACTTTCCAAAGTCTACTTTTCTGAAATACCATTTTACCGAAGTCGTAATACTGACAATCCATTTTACCGACAGGACTGATATGGGTCTGTCATTTCAATTCATCGACAAGTTCGTTTCTCAAACAGTTTATTTCAACGACATTTCATTTCACAGACAAGCTTTTTTAAAAAATTGCACTAATCTTAACTTTAGTTCTAATCTGACCCTAACGACAATGACCGGAATTACTTTGTTGGTGAATTATGGCTGTTCTCATAAATTCTGGAACAACTGATAAAAATTGAATTCGATAAGTTTTGAATTCGGTGTTATCGATCATTGTAATGTCGAAAATCAAAAACTTATCGAATTTGGCAGATTAGTTGTCCCAGAATTTACAGTAACTGCTGTAAACTATACTTGTTACCCGAAACCTGAAACCTTTCCGAAACTTCAAAATTGGAATGTTAATAATTAATGCACATTTACTATAAAGTAACCAAAATTTTCCTTAAATGCAATCTAATTATACTATACTTTAAGTCTTAACGTTTAAAATTAAATTTCTAAGCCTTTCAGTATAGTGTTAGAGTTTCGGAAAGGGTTTCGGGTTTCGTTTCGGGATTTTACATATAGTTTCGGGTTTCGGATAACAACTATACTGTAAATGTCAGTGAAATGAACGCATCAGAAATGGACCTTATTGAGATAAAAAGATATCAGAATTATACATCTTTTTAATAGCAGCTGTAGCAAATGAAATTTTTTAAAGGTACTTCGCTTTTGAAGAAAAAAAATTTATAATAAAATCTGAAATTCATGCTTTTTCAATAGTACGGGAAATGGGATTTGCATACATATAACCCTATTTTTTCTTTTGCTTTTACAGCTGTTTTCAAAAAGGTGTGAACAACAATTTCGTGGGAAATCGAAGAATCGGGAAATTCCGATTAGTAAAAATTAAATGTCCGATTAGCACTGGCTCTGAAAATTCTGGAAATCTGGGAAATTTCAAGATATGGTGAACTGCGTCTGTCACACCTTTTTGAAAACGGCTATAATTAAAGTTGTAGAACCAATTTGATTTTAATGGCTACAATCGGTTTGATAAATCAGGAGATATGACTAGTTTGAATTATTTTCTATAAGATTTTTTTTAAGACAGAAGCACATGCCAATCCACTTCTATATTAACGTTAAGCAAATAACAAAATTGCGCCGATGATTACTATAAAATTTCTTTTAATTATTTTTGTGACAATTACTGACGGTCTATGTAGATCATTTTGATCAAAAACAATATGATTACAGGTGATCTTCCTGTAATACTGGCAAGAATTTCCATATGAGATTAGTGATTATCGTTTATCAAACATAAAATTTAATCCAACCATTTAGGGTTGTGTTACATAAATTACAATTTTACGCTACACGTAACTTTACGTAAGTTTCAGAAAAATCAAATTTCATGTAATTTCCATACGTCATACATAAAGTACCAGATTTGCAAAAGTTTCGGCCAGTATTATTACATCACTTGATTTGAATGTACGATTCGAATTGTAACTCCTAAATCGCCGAAAAATTTATCAAATGTCGTGTTCAAAATTTGAAATTTCAATTTACCGAATCTTACGCAAACTTACGTAAAATTACATAAAATTAACGAACTTTTACATCTCTAGTGACATTGCATAACCTCATGTAAAATTGAATCATAAGATTGTTCAATTGCTTATTAATTCGTTTATTAATCGTTTCCGAAACAGTTTATGAAACTATATAATATAATTATAAATCATCATTGCATTCAATTAGTTAATTGTTTTTCTTAGCCGTAAATTGCTTATGAAATTGAACAGGAGGAACCGTTAATGTACACCAAGTGAGGGATTATGTCCATCACACTTGAAGTTACATAGAAATAATTTCGATTTAACTGATCACCCTCGTATGAACGACGGGGTGAGTGATTATATCCATAACATACATTTTAGAGTAAACTCAAAATAAATAATAATATTATTGATTATATAACATTGACGGTTTCTCCTGTTATGAAATTGATCATGAAGCCGCATAATATTTATAAATTATTACGTACAGTATATCACTTAATTTTAATAATCACAACATTCTTATCAAAAAGTTTCACCCGTATAATCCCGGTAATAAATTTCCTGATCAGTCATTTACTTGCAATTTCATTTCACTATTTTATCGACATGTCATTTTCCAAATGATATATAATATTGTTTAGAAAATACATCGTTGAAAAACCTTTGAGTGAAGGAATTTAATTCTGAGACATCTTATAAAACAGTCAGGAATTTCTATTGAGCAAAATTTGTGTCAATCATTGTTCATGTATTTAGTTGGGTGAAACTGTCTTTCAAAGCCTCAGAGATTCTTAGACATGTTCATAGAATAACTTTACAAGAATATTTTTAAAAGTTTTTTTAAAAACTGATCAATTTTTTTTTTAGATAATAAAAATCATTTTTTTTAAATAGAAATCAGTTTTATAATAGTCTTTAACCTACTATTAATATGGTTTGATATTTGTGCTATGCTTCTTGTCTATTTTTTGTTCTATTTTATTTTGCTTTAGTTATGATCGATACGAACCAGATTCTTTTTTTCCTGTTTTTGATAAAAAATGGAAATATGGTATGTATTCAGAGTGTGCAGAAAATGCAGAGCAAGAAAATGTTGAGTTTTAAAATTTAGGTTAAAAAAGAATGATAAATGCTATAATATTTTATATTTCTAACTAAACATTTGAGTTGCTTAAAGGGAGTTAGAAAATATTGCAGTATATTGATTGTATTAATATATTAAGTGTTAGATTTAATTTAGTTTGATGCAGTTCTCTTGTATGCTTTTGAATAAACATTTATGCATTTATATTTTTATTAATGGGTCATAATTAAAACTGATTGATTATTTTTGTAATAATTATAATATATAAATTAGTAGAACTGTTAGTTATTGAATTATATATCAATAAATCAAAATTATAATATTAATGTGCTTATTTTATTTTTTATTTTTTAATCAAATAAGATTTTGTTCATATTTTTATTAATAATTTAAAATAGTGTTATAGAATGATTATTTTATTTTATTTTATTATTAGTTATTTTTAGATATTATTTATTATTATTATTAGTATATT